TCGGGAGTTCAGCGGGAAGAGGTTGGAAGCCTTCGGCCTCAACCCCCGCAGGATCCGCTTCCGGCAGCTCCGGCGGCGGCTGAGGGGGAGGGAGGGGAAAAACACCGGGAATGACACCGGGAACAGCGGGAAAAACACCGGGAAAAACACCGGGAAAAACACCGGGAAAAACACCGGGAATGACACCGGGAACAGCGGGAATACCGGGAAAAACACCGGGAATGACACCGGGAACAGCGGGAAAAACACCGGGAATGACACCGGGAAAAACACCGGGAAAGACACCGGGAATACCGGGAAAAACACCGGGAATGACACCAGGAACACCGGGAATGACACCGGGAATGACACCGGGAACAGCGGGAAAAACACCGGGAAAGACACCGGGAACACCGGGAATACCGGGAAAAACAACGGGAAAAACACCGGGAAAGACCCTGAGAACACCAGGAAGAACAACGGGAAAGACACCGGGAAAAACAATGGGGAAAACAATGGGAAAAACACCGGGAACACCGGGAAAGACACCGGGAAAAACACCGGGAAAATCACCGGGAAAAGCCCCGGGAACACCGGGATAAATGCTGGGAGCACCGGGAACACCTGGAAAAACCCTGGGAATGCCGGGAAAAACCCCAGGAACACCGGGAAAGACCCCAGGAACAGCGGGAAAAACCATTGGAGCACCGGGAACAACCCCGAGAACAACGGGAAAAACCCCGGGAACAACAGGAAAAGCTCCGGGAACAGCTGGAAAAACCCCGGGAACACCGGGAACAACCCCGGGAACACCGGGAACAACCCCGGGAACACCGAGCCAACAACAGCCGTCAACGGGAAGAAGCAGAAAGGCAGGAAAAGCTCCCCCAACCCCCAGAGAAACACCTGAAAACGCCGGAATTCCACGGGAAAACAGCGGGAGAACTCCAGAACCGGGGGAAAAACCCCGGGAAAAACCCCCGGAATGTTCTGGAAAAACCCCCGGAAAAAACCCTGGAATGTTCTGGAAAAACCCCGGAAAAACCCCCGGAATGTTCCGGAAAAACCCCCGGAAAAAACCCTGGAATGTTCCGGAAAAACCCCGGAATGTTCTGGAAAAACCCCGGAATGTTCCGGAAAAACCCCGGAATGTTCTGGAAAAGGCCCAGAATGTTCCGGAAAAGCCCCGGAATGCTCCAGAAAAACCCCGGAATGTTCCGGAAAAGGCCCGGAATGTTCCAGAAAAGCCCCAGAAAAACCCTAAAAAACCCCAGAATGTTCCAGAAAAGCCCCGGAATGTTCTAGAAAAGCCCCGGAATGTTCCGGAAAAACCCCGGAATGTTCTGGAAAAACCCCGGGAAAACCCCGGAATGTTCCGGAAAAGCCCCGGAATGTTCCGGAAAAGCCCCAGAAAAACCCTGGAATGTTCTGGAAAAGCCCCGGAATGTTCCGGAAAACCCCGGAATGTTCCGGAAAAGCCCTGGAATGTTCCGGAAAAATCCCGGAATGTTCAGGAAAAACCTCGGAATGTTCCAGAAAAGGCCCAGAATGTTCCGGAAAAGCCCCGGAATGTTCCAGAAAAGCCCCAGAAAAACCCTAAAAAACCCCGGAATGTTCCAGAAAAGGCCCAGAATGTTCTGGAAAAGGCCCGGAATGTTCCGGAAAAGGCCCGGAATGTTCCGGAAAAGGCCCGGAATGTTCTGGAAAAGCCCCAGAAAAACCCCGGAATGTTCCAGAAAAGGCCCAGAATGTTGCAGAAAAGCCCCGGAATGTACCGGAAAAGGCCCGGAATGTTCCGGAAAAGGCCCGGAGCCCCCAAGGAAAAGCGCAGGGAAACGGAGCCGGATTCAAGTTTTTATTTTGGGGAGGGGTCCTGAGTAGAGCAATAAATAAAAAAACCCCTCCCCC